GCCCTCTTCCCTCGCTTCCAGTACAGCTGAGGAGACAACAGAGGCAGCTATGCTCGGACAGGAATGAAGAATGAAGACTTAGGAGAGGCTCTAGGATGCTCTGCATAGGTTGAACCTTGCTTGCTAGGAACACACCCCCTCTCCCCCCCCCTCCCTTCCCCCTCCCAACCCCCCCCCCCCTCCCCCCACCCCCTCCCCACCGTGCCTGCCTTTATTGCCTTCGCTCCCCATCCCCCTCCCCCCCCCCCTCCCCTCCCTTCCACCCACTAACCAATCCAACCACCCATCCATCGAACCACTCATCTCTCTAGCCCAAGTCTCACCCCAACTAACCACAGGGAAACCCCACTCTGACTACAGGGCAGCGCCTAACTACAGGTACGCTAACCCCACTCTGACTACAGGGCAGCGCCTAACTACAGGTACGCTAACCCCACTCTGACTACAGGGCAGCGCCTAACTACAGGTACGCTAACCCCACTCTGACTACAGGGCAGCGCCTAACTACAGGTACGCTAACCCCACTCTGACTACAGGGCAGCGCCTAACTACAGGTACGCTAACCCCACTCTGACTACAGGGCAGCGCCTAACTACAGGTACGCTAACCCCACTCTGACTACAGGGCAGCGCCTAACTACAGGTACGCTAACCCCACTCTGACTACAGGGCACCTAACCCTGATTCATGCAGAAAGAAATAACGAACAAGCAAGCAATGAAAATTAGCAGAATGGAAATAACAAAGAATGTTTAACTTTGTGAATTGTCAACATAAGCTTGATCTGCTGTAACTCTTGCTGTGATTTATAGTGCAGGCTGTAGGCTGTAGGCTGTTGGCTGTTGGCTGTAGGCTGCTGGCTGTATCTCTATGTCTCGCGCAGGCTGTTAGGCTGTAGGCTGCAGTGCTTTTGTGAACTGCAGGCTGCAAGCTGTAGGCTGTAGGCTGTTGGCTGTTGGCTGTGATCTGTAAGCTGTGTCACTTTACTTGTAGCTCTTGGATTGTTTTAGCATGAAGAATAGAGAGCAGCGGAGCAGAGGAGCAGAAGACAATTCACGTGGAGGAGAAGAAGGGGAAGCAGAGGAGGAGAGAAGGAACCAGAGGAGGAGAAGATGAAGGAGAGGAGGAGAAGAGGAAGGAGAGGAGGAGAAGAAGAAGGAGAGGAGGAGTAGAGGAAGGAGAGGAGGAGAAGAGGAAGGAGAGGAGGAGAAGAGGAAACAGAGGAGGAGGAGAGGAAGCAGAGGAGGAGGAGAGGAAGCAGAGGAGGAGGAGAGGAAACGCAGGAGGACAAGATGTTGCTTCAGCAGACATGGTAAGCCCTCCCTTGAAGTTCATTCTTATCGTCCTCCTCCTTTCGTCTTTGCTCGGTTTCCATTGCCTCCTGTGCTTGCCTTCTTCTCCCTTGCCACTTGTTCATCTCATTATGAGTTGTTAATCTGCCATTGTCTCAGATGTTCGAAAGCCTCCAAGAGGGAGCAGAGGGAGCAGACAAGAGGGGGCAGACAAGAGGGGAGAAGACTTGTGATGTGGTAAGTCTCCTCTGACATTTCCTTACCCTTCTAATCCCTTCTGAACTGGTCGGTTAATGCTCGGCATGCCACTTACTTCTTCACGTTGCTCCTCATTTCATTCTGTGGCACCACTCTTCCCTCCGCTGTGCTTTTTTCCAACTGCCGAGGAGAGTCAGGGGGGTCAACACCTCTGCTTGATTCCTCCCCTTAACTCACTCACTCACCTCTGCCTCTCCCATGCAACTGTCGCTCCATCAGTTATTTTGGGGGCGGAGGAAGATTTACACACAATGTCACACAATGTCACACAATGTCACACAAGCATGTCTCACAATGTTTTCGTCTCTCCCACTCTAACTCTTCCTCCTTTTCCAAAGCATTTTCGCAATGGTTTTGCAGGTTCTTGCATTTTCGCGGTAAGATTTCTTTTCGAATCTCTTGTCCCCCAAGCGAACCCTCTCTCTTTCTTCTTTATACATCACTGCATCTCTCATGTCTTCCCTGTCTCCTCCTCCCCTGTTTTGTCCTTCAGCCGAGCGCAACAGAGGAGTTGCGGCATCAGCAACGATCAAGCGGCAACAAGCAAAAGCAAATCAACCGAGCCCACTTCCCATGGTTTGCCCCACAATCCCTTCCCGGGCCCCCTCTTATAATGCATTGTGTCTTATAATGCATTGTCTCCTCTCTCGCCTTCCTTTCCTGCCAGCCACCTGCTTCCCTCTCATATCCTTCTCCCTCCCTGCGTTTCCCCCCTCAGCCAGGGATGGCAGTGGTGGCATGGGACGGACTTCAGGCAAGGCCGAGTCAGACAAGGCAGATCATCCTCTTCTCATTGTAAGGCTGCTCACTCAACCCCCTTCTCTCCTGCCCCAACGTCCCGATGTCAGCCTTTAAATTACATCTTTCTCCATAGTCCCCTTCACATGACTCAATTTTCAAAACTTCCTTTCACACGCCCCTAGCTCTCGTGCTTCCTCCTTCAGATGTGCTGAAACTTAGCATGGAGAAACGGCTTGTCAGGAGTAACACAGTGTCACCTGCCCAGCTCTCATATCCTCCTCTGTCCCTGTGTTTCCTCTTCCAGGCAAGGACAGTGGTGGTGGCATGGGATGGACTAGGCAACGACGGCTGTGGTGGCATGGGATGGACTAGGCAACAACGGCTGTGGTGGCATGGGATGGACTAGGCAACGACGGCTGTGGTGGCATGGGATGGACTAGGCAACAACGGCTGTGGTGGCATGGGATGGACTAGGCAACAACGGCTGTGGTGGCATGGGATGGACTAGGCAACAACGGCTGTGGTGGCATGGGATGGACTAGGCAACAACGGCTGTGGTGGCATGGGATGGACTAGGCAACAACGGCTGTGGTGGCATGGGATGGACTAGGCAACAACGGCTGTGGTGGCATGGGATGGACTAGGCAAGTGGTGGCATGGGACGGACTTCAGGCACTGGCAAGTCAGAAAAGGCAAAAATCATCCTCTTTTCCTTTCATGGTAAGGCTGCTCTCGTAACCCTCTTCTTCTCTGCCTGAGGTCTTGATGACGTCCTTTCAGTGCCTTTTTCCTCCCCTTTGCTTCTCATAAGTGCACTCTGCGTCCTCCACCCTCTCCTTCCTTTCCTTGGTGCCTCCTGCTCCCTTCTCACATCCTTCTCCATACCTGTGTTTCCTCTGTCAGGCAAGGACGGCAGTAGTGGCATGGGACGGATTTCAGGCAAGGGCAAGTCAGACAAGGCTAAGATGCTCCTCTTCTCACTGTAAGTACTCGGCATGGGACAGGCTTCAGGCAAAGCAAGTGACTCACGCAACCCTTTTTTCCTCTGTCCCAAGGTCTTGATGACTGCCTTTCATTGCCATTTTCCTCCTCTTTCATCCCCTTTGTACTACCTTCTCTCCTCTGACCGACCGCCTTCCCTCGTCTGCCTTCTCATTCCTTGCCTTGCGCACTCTTCCTCTCCTTTGCTTCCACATGCTGTTCTCACATGCTGTTCTCACATGCTGTTCTCACATGCTGTTCTCACATGCTGTTCTCACGTGCCTTTCCTTTCGAGTTTCCTCCTTCAGATGTGGTGGAAAGATTGTGGGTGGAGAAACAGCTTGGCAGCAGTACTGAAGTGCCAGCTAAGCTTGGCGCGAGAATAGCACATGAGCTAAGCTTGGCACGAGACAAGCACATGATATGAGCCTTGGGCACGAGACAAGCACATGAGCTGAGCTTGGCACGAGACAAGCACATGAGCTGAGACTTCTTCCCTGGTAGGTTACTGCAACCTGCCGTCTCCTCTTCTCTTCTGCAGCACACTCTCGGTGACGCAAACCCACTGCTCCACCCAATGTTGTCTGATCCAGCCCAAACACACCTCAAATCATACCATCGTCTGATCCACTCCAAAGAGTCACACGTAGTCATGCTCCTTGTGTGGACACCCAAATCATTTACACCTTACTTTTAGCATCTTGTGAAGCTCAAATATCGTGTACCTTGCCTCCTCTGGTCTGCTTACAGGAAGTTCCAAAGGAGTTCCATGTGGAAGCCAAGACTGGAAGATGAAGACCACGTAGGCTGGAGCCGACCCAGTTTATATAGGTTGTAGGATATCTAGACTAGTAACACTCTCAGGTGTGGTATCCCCCCTCCCTCCCCCGCAATCCCCTTCCCTTAGCATAGGGCTCCCCCACACCCCCCTCCTCCTGTCCCTTACCCACGCCCTGGTTTGCCCCCTGCGACCCACCTCCCCCTGCGACCCACCTCCCCCTGCGACCCACCTCCCCCTGCAACTCACCCACCTCAGCAACTCCCTGCGTAGGGCGCACTGCACTCTAGCTACAGGGCTCGTGCAATCAAACTACAGGGCTCGTGCGCTCTAACTACAGCACTCGTGCACTCTAACTACAGCACTCGTGCGCTCTAACTACAGGACTTGTTCACTCTAGCTACAAGACTCGTGCACACTAACCACAACAAACTCGTTTTTTGGGGCATGCTAACTACAGGGCTTGTTTTCGGGTCACGCTGATTTCAGGGCGCATATTTGTAAGGAACACTGGTAGTACAAGGCCTGCACACCAAGCCATGCAGGAACGCTGCATACAGGGATATTAACTGCAGGGTTGCTTAACAACAGGGACGCTAACTACAGGGACATCAACTACAGGGTTGCTAACTAGAGGGACACTAAGTACAGGGCTTGCGCACCAAGGCACGCTAATTACAGGAATAATAATTACATGGACACTGCTGCAGTGCTTGTGCTTCGCTAATTACAGGGACGCTAACTACAGGGCTAAGTGCAGGGCTCGTCCAGCAAAAAGTCGAAGATTCTGTAGTATACTCATTTCTGTGCAAAGTAAGCTACTTTAACATAAGATTTTATAACGAAAACACTTAGATGTAGGTACTACCGTATCAAAACATACGGTAAGAGAGTGACTGATAATATATAGTAGCTTCGCCACTATAGTCCAAAGCTCTGTCCAGCCATGCTTCACTCCCAAGGCCAGATAGCAACACCGTCACTCCCAAGGCCAGTCGGGACCGAGGCCAATGCAGCCGGTATCGACGTCAGCGCTGCAACATTGTTAGCAAGAGCGTTACCGGCAAAACAGCGACCAGCAAAAGCACCACCAGCAAACACATTGCCCGGGAAAACGTTCCTCCCAGATCCAGCAGCCGCCATCACAACCCGCTCTAACTCCATCACTCTCCTCTCCAATGCATCTACATATCTCACTGCTCTATCCAGCATAGCACATGTGTCCCCTCGCCCCCTCACCTTCGCCTTCAGCCTCTGCAGCCCCTCGCTGATCCTCTCCCTCCTCCGCCGCTCCGCCATGCTCCGGCTCTTGATCCTCTGGTTTGGCGCCGAACCATTCCGGATGTCCTGGCATCGAGGCAACCGCTCGTCGTCCGTGCCACACTCGCCATGCATGTCGCTGCGCTCACGGCCCTTGGGATCATCCAAAACATCGTCCGTGCACCACTCGTCGTGCACGTCGCATGTGCGCCCGTTGGTCCCGCTCTCATACCTCACCATGCGCTCATCCCGAGGTGACTTTTGAGTCGACTCTAAAGTCATGTCGACGCGCTCCTTTGTGCGCATGATTTCCCGCACATCACTCTGGTTGGCCCTCGCATCTGGCACCGGGATATGAGGGTCAACTATGGTAGTGCTCATGATACGAGCATCAGCAGCCACGGCAGCGCCCGGGATAGAAGCCCCTTCAGCAGGGGGTCCCTCTGGCTTCGGCTGAGCAGACGAGGCCCGGGCCAGCCCGAGTGCGCTCCGGCTGTAGCAGGCACGGGAAGTCTGCCTGGCGTGCTGCTGCCGCATGTGAGCGGCTGTAGTGCAGTCTGTGGGGCGCTCTGGGCTTTTCCTCTTTTTCCCAGCCTTGCTCGCCGAGTTGGTGCCAGTGCTGCTGAAAAGGCTACTGTCGGTGCCACGCGCTCCCACCATCACATTGCTATTGCAAATCCCATTGCTCATGGCACTACTGGGGTTGGTACCACTGCCGCGCAGAGCAAACTTGGGGACACTGACACCGTCTCCGCCACCATCCCCACGACCGCCACCACTGCCACCACCGCTGCCACCAAGGTTGCCGCTCCTCTCCCCAAATCGTCCTCCTGTGCGCCCCAACCCACCTCCACCATGAGCCAACCGCAGAGTGCCATCTGGACCGTATCTAGGAGCAAACGTAGAAGCAAGCGCGGTCTCAACTTGCTTCGCTGATTTTACAGCCTCTGGAAGAGCCGAGAAAGCTGAGAGCCACTGCTCCTCTTTCACTCCTTCCATCTGCTGCCGCTGCTGTGGCTGCTGGTGCTGCTCCTGATGCTCCTGATGCTCCTGCTCCTCCTGCTCTTGCTGCTGTTGCACTTGTGGCGCCTGGGGGAAGTGTGGCTGCTCTTGACTCACCGCCCTCTGACCCTTCTGCTTCAGATTCTTTGTCTGCTGCTGCTGCTGCTGCTGCTCCTGTTTTTGCAGCGGAAGCTGGTGCTTCTCCTCCTGCTTGGGCGTCAGCAGGAGGGCCATTAGCTGCTGCCTTTCGTCCTCGCTGCCTCCTTCCATCTGCAGCCTCGCCATCACCCGGCCTGACAACACTGCTTCCCGTCCCTCTGCCTCTTTCTCTGCCGCTGCTTTTGCCTGTGCCTCCGCCTCTGCCTCCTGCTGCAGGGCGTGCTGTAGTCGCAGGAAGCGTGCAAGGTGTGAGAGCCCAGCCAGCACGCGCTGAATCTGCTCCTCCCCGTTCGCCTCTTGCACAGCAGCAGCAGCAGCAGCAGCAGCATCAGCCCCAGCGGGCTTATTCAAGTCGCCCAACTCCTCCCCCGCGCCCCCCCCACTCCGAGGGATCCCCACATTCCCCATGGGCGCGGGTCCTCCCTGCCGCCCGCCCACGCAAGTCAGCAACGGTTCAATCAGCGGGTGCAGGTGAACCAAAGCCTCCTCCACCGTGGGCTCCACGAGAGGCGGATGTATTTGCAGTTCGACAGATGCCGGTTGGTTGACGCAGCTGGGCGACCAGACACGCCGCGGCGGCCGCCCTCTAAGATGCTCTGGGATCCAACGCTGCGAGGCCCGCAGGAGCGGGAGCGTGGTGTGCGGCGGCGGCGCGAGCGTAGAAGGGAGGCCATCCATTGCGAAGAGTGCAGCAGCGAGAGAGTCCGATGTCGTCGCTCCGGCGGTGGCGCCGTCGCAGTTGAGCACGACTGTGCTACTTTCGTCAGCCATAGATTCGGTTTCGGGCGACGCGTAGCAGGTGGAGTAGCAGAGCAGGTGGAGGCGGGTCGAGTAGCTCTAGTAGGGTATGGCGACGTTTCACTCTTGAAAATTCGAAGGAGGCGACCTTTCAAGAACTGGCAGTCGGGAACTCAGCGGTTGAGCCTGTGAGCGGGCCTTTTGATGCTGAAATGGTGAACGGACGACGATGCGAGGAGAGCGGTTGCGATTCATCAGTAAAATTCAGCACAACGGGCATGAATGGAAGAAGGATGCGGAGCAACAACTCCCTTTGCGAGATGCTACTGATCCTGGAAAGTTTGAAACGCTGGCTTGGTGATCTTTATCGATTGAATTCGATTCAACCCGGATTTCGGGAACAAACTGACCACTTGCTGGACACGTGAGAGAGTGAGACGGGGGCGTGTGCGAGAATGTTAACTGGCGCACGTACTGTATCCTAAGGAGCAGCCGACACTCTTTACCGCGTTTGATGCAATCGCGGCGCCACCCCACCATCGGGTGATCCTTCCCTGGTCCGGGCCAGGAACGGGAATATTTTTGAGTCGACTCAAAAATGGCCCGGGGAGGTGTGTCCCGTCCCACTCCGGCACATAATTGCGAAGCGCCACGACGACGTGCTCTCATTATTGCCGCATGTTCTTTTCGCCAGTCAACCGCCATCGTGTGGGAGGCACTCAACTACCTTGATGTCGTGGCGGCACCACTATTCCACCACTACAGTGGTTCGTACAATCTGATCTGAACCCCCCCGACTGCGGCAATCAACTCAACTGTTCACATCAAAGATTCGAATACATGTACGCTGGCAACGGTCAACTGCTTCGCACGCGTTCATGATGGAAGGCGGGAAGCCATGAACTGGATGCGCCAACTGGGACCCCACTCAGTGCGCCGACACGGAAACTACCCTAGAAGGCTGGGAGCAGGGGCTGAAAGAAAAATTGAGGGAGACCAAAATCGAGGGCTAACAACTTCCAGGTCCAGAAGTGAGGAATACGGCGCAAGACACGAAAGTTGGCGAAGCAGCATGCAATTTCGCGACAAGTTTCGTGTAGAATGGCGACTCTTGCCGAAACGGGTCATCGTGTTTCGAAGTGCTGTTAGGAAGTTACAGACCGCAATGCTTGCGCACGTGATACTGACGAGTCCGTGTACTGTACCTCACTGATCCAAAGCCAGTAGGCTGACGGTTGACAGTACACGTCATGTCAAGATTTAGAAAGCTTGCTTTCTTGCATGTAGCAATTGGCATCGTCTCATTTCAAATGGGTTTAGTACAATTGAAATCTAAGCAGTGACATTACAACAATATGCCTCTACGTTATCAACGCTATCCTGCTTTCGAGGGGGGTGGGTGGGAAAATCGGTTAAACCGTTTGAAATGACCTCCAGCCCACGTTTTGTACTCCAAAACGGGCGTTTAGCGCGGCTCGACGCTGCCAAATCCTACATTACAGGCAGCTTCGCTTTCGAAATACATAATTTTAAAAAGCATTACAGCTTTTAAAAATATACATATTTAGAAAGCTTGCTTTCTTGCATGTAGCAATTGGCATCGTCTCATTTCAAATGGGTCTTCTGAGACATGTGTCGTGCTGGTTGGCGATGTCGTGTCAGCGCCGCGGAGTGTTGCAATGGTGACGAGGCTCTCGTCGGATCTTGGACATGTCGAGATGCTCCAACCAACTGGTCTATTGCCGGAGTGATGTACATCTCTTTAGCCGTATCGCTGCGCCACCTCCCCAGCTGTTTCAATATGCGGTCTGGTACTCCTCCGTTGGCGGCGACGGTTGCTGCGCCTTTGCGAAAGGAGTGGGTGCCGAGGTGCTCGAGTCCTAATCCGATCTTTTGGAATGCCTCCTTGCACCAGTTGCGAATCGTTGTGTAGGAGGGTGGTGTTGTCGGATTACCGCGACCCATGGTGTCTGAACCGAAGACTCGTATCAGTGGACCTTCTTGTGCACGACCGTAGCCTGCCAACTGGATGAAGCGTTTAGTGCACTGTACGGGGCAAAAAGGGCCCGAAGTTGCGGCTACGGGAACCCATGCACCGTCTCCTGCCTGGTCTGTTTTGGAGCGGGGAATCAGGAGCCACATGACGTCTTGCTCGAACTCAATCTCGTGCCAGTTAAGTGCGGCGAGGTCTGAGTATCGCAGGAAGCCGGAGTACATGAGTAACGGAATGAGCCCCTTCTGAAACTCGCCAGGCTTGTTCGATTCCAGGAATTCCGCCGCCATAGCGTGTACTTGATGCAGAGAGACGGGTTCCTTGAGACGCTGGGGCCGCGGGCAATGTCGCTTGGCGAAGTCTCGCACATTGGATGTGAATGGCCCAGTCGACGGGCACGTGGCCCCAATCATCCGATGCGCGAAGCTGACTGCCGAGCATGTCAGTTGTACTGCCGATATGGTGGCCTTCTGTTGAATCGCGTGGACCAGGTATAATGCGAGTGTCATGTCTGTGCATGGCAGGAACTGCAATTTGACGTGTGTGCAGAATGCACGAAACTTGGCCCAGTATGGTTCGTAGGTGCGAATCGTCGAGTCAGCCCTCGTACGCGTGGTTATCCGAAGAAGTTCTTGCTTGAGCCTCTCGAGCAATCCTGCACCAGATGTGTGAATGGTCAGGTGGCGAAGGACACTCGTAATGCAATAATCGGGCTGTGAGGCAATCCTTCCCCAGAAAAGGCGCGGGTGTGGGTGCCTGCGGACAGGCATTGGCTCCCGTGGGTGAGGCGGATGTGGGTGAGAATGCAGGCAGCCCATTGGGGCGGAGCGGGTTGGAGTAACGGCCACCAGCTTGCCCCTGGCCAGTGGGGCACGACGAGCGTGAGCGATGCTCGCGTCCTTTGGGCGTGATGCAGCACCGCTGGGATGAGGTGGGGTGGCGGAAAGGCGTATGCATGCTCGGAGGCCCATGATAGGGAGAAGGCATCGGTTGCCTCTGCGTCGGGATGAGGGGTTTTGGAGCAGAAGCGAGCCAGCTGGGTGTTGTTTGCATTGGCAAATAGATCGATAGAGTGCGGTCCCAAGCGCCGTTCAAGAACCCGGAACCATGGTGCTTTGAGTGCGTAGTCGTCTCGATCGATGATCTTTGAAAGTTCATCAGCTCGTGTGTTGAGTTCGCGCGGAATCCATTCGACCGTCAGCCGAATCCCGGAGGCAACGCACGCTTGAATAATGGCTCTGCACGTGGTTGTGAGGCTCGGAGTCCGCGAACCACCTTTGCGAAGGATAAAGAAGACACCTTGGTTGTCGGTTCTGGCGAGGACATGTCGGTTCTGGATCCTTCCCGAGAATGTCTGCAGCGCCCATAGGACTCCATCCATTTCTCGTTGCGTGCTGGAGGCTTTCGTGAGGTGCACGGGCATGGTTGCGCTCGCCTCAATTCGCCGTCCTGGGAACGTATCTAGTGTCGCTCCCCAACTGTGTGCGCTGGCGTCCACATGGATCAATGCATCGTAGCTGTTCGGGACGTGGAACGGGGCGCCATTGAACTTGTCAAATTCATGCAGCCAAAACTCGAGCTCTTCAATGACCGCAGGGACCAACTGCACTCTGCTGTTCCAGGAAGGGGCATCTTGAATGGTCTGTAATAGGTTCTGGCTGAATGCCCGTGCGGTTGCGCCGATGGCAAGTGACATCGACGCGAGCATGCCGGTAACTCTGGCGACGTGTCGGATCGGGACTTTGCGTTCGGCCTTGCCGGCCATGCATAATTCATGAATGGTTGAGCGTAATGATGCTCGCCGCTCGGGGCCAATGGAGAACTGGCCGCGTTGTGTATCCAACTCGACACCCAAGAACCGCAGTTGCTGGGTGGGTTGCAGGTGCGACTTCTTAGAATTGATAACCAGTCCAGCCTTCCTGAGGTCTTGCACCACCATCTGACCCGTGGTTCTCGCTTCGGCTGCCGTGCGACACAGAAAGAGGATGTCGTCGACGTAAGGGATGACTCGCACCCCAAGCGCCCGCCAACGGCGGGCAAGCTGCTTGATGAGCTGCGTGAAAACGAACGGGGCTGTCGCCAGACCAAATGGTAGAGACTGAAAAAC